CACCAAGAGATGATATTAGGACCGAGTAGGAGTATGTAGCCCGTGGTAGACTTGCGATCATCTTTATCATTGGCCCAGTCAGAGTCAGAGTAGACAGATAGGTCGAATCCCCCCTTGCGAAAAAGAAGACCATGATTCAAAGTGCCTTTGAGATAGCGCAAAACGCGTTGCAAGGCATGATAGTCCTGCTCAGTGGGGTTGTGCATAGTCTGAGACACTTGATTAACAGCATACTGAATGTTTGGACGAGTGACAGCCAAGTAATGTAAACCGCCAACAATGCTCCGAAAATGAGAAATATCCTTGAAAGGCAACGAAGGCTTAGTGATAGGTCTCGTAGCCATAGGAGTAATAGCCGGATGACAGTCGGACATCCCAGCTCGGCGTAGAAGATCACGGGCATATTTAGATTGATGGAGAAGTATAGAATCTTGCGTGCGCTGAACCTCAATGCCAAGAAAGTAATGAAGAGGTCCAAGTTCTTTGAGCTTGAAGTCACGGTGCATGGTCTGAGTAACTTCTGAGATGAGAGTAGAAGAGCTGCCAGTGAGAACAATATCATCAACATAGACAAGGACAACAATAGTCCCACGAGAGCAGTGTCTGGTGAACAAGCTGGTATCATGAATGCAGCACTTGAATCCAAGACCCTGCAAAAAAGAAGAGAGGCGTGTGTACCATGCACGGGGTGCCTGTTTGAGACCATATAGTGATTTGCGGAGCTTGCAAACATAGTGAGGATGAGTGGGATTTATGTACCCCGGGGGCTGCTCCATATAAATTTCCTTGTCCACTGTACCGTGAAGAAAGGCATTGGTAACATCTAGTTGATGAAGAGGCCAATCACGGTTGAGTGTTAAAGAGAGGACCAAGCGCACTGTTTGTTGCTTGACCACAGGACTGAATGTCTCCTTATAATCAATGTTATACTCCTGATGATAACCTTTTGGGACAAGACGAGCCTTATACCTTGAAACAGATCCATCAGCATTCCGTTTAATGCGATACACCCATTTGCAACCAATCGGAGTGCGATTCTTGGGTGGTGGAACCAAGTCCCATGTACGTTGCTCATTCAAAGCAATAAACTCCTCATCCATAGCCTGACACCAAAAACTATTACCAGAGGCTTGGCGGTAAGTGCTAGGCTCAGTGATAGGTGGGGTAGTAACAAGGGTGGTAATGGTATAGGCTTTAGGTTTGAAAAATCCAGATTTGGCTCGGGTTTGCATGGTGTGTGTGTTTTGGGGCGGGGGTTGGTTAACCGGTTGTGTGTTTTGGAGAGGAGTAGGTGACGGTCGAGGGTGGGTTGGGGTACGGTTCTGGGGTTGGACCGTCTGTGGCGT